CAAATTCATCAGGGAGCGTCAGTTCTCTTCAGATCACAGGTAGACCTTACTAACAAGATCCAAACAGTACGAAACTCAAGTCAAAGATACCTTACATTTGAAAGTACCTTTTCTATTACCCTATACATTTGTTTTTCTTATCTTGACTCACATCACTTAAATTCATTTTAGTATCTTCTAGTTGTTGTTTTTATTTTTGAATACAATTTAAAATAGTGGTAACTTGTAATGAATAAATTTTGAACAAACTACAACTTCATCACTTCTATCTTATTCTTGAGGTACAATTACATCTGAGCATAATTATGTACTCATCCAAAAACAGTTGTGATTGAGTGTAAAAGATACTTAAACACGTCATAACGCATTAGTCTTGGATAATTATACCTAAATCTGTATAAACTATTTGAATATGCGGAAAAATAAGTAATTAAAATCATTAAGAGTACAAAAACAAGCATTCCTTACAAAAAATGATTAGTAAATTCTCAGGATATGAATATAGTTATTTATTAAGTTATCTGATATATTCTTAATAAAAGTGAAATGGGAAATATTTCCTAGCACGTTTATTTTGCTCTAAAGTTAAAACTTATTTTTGATTGAAATCGTAAATCGGTAAATTTTAGAACACTATTGGAAACTTGAAAGCACTGGACAGCCGTTTTGTCCTAGTATGGGATTCTTCAGCTGCGCTCATCTACGATCCTGCGTTCGGGATCGTGGATGCACACTACTGAGAAGTTCCATACTAGAGAGAAACAGCCGTCCAGTGCATCCAAGTTTTCAATGGTGGTCTAAAGTTCATCGATTCATGATCTCAATCAAAAATTTAACAATTTCCACAACCCTATACTTATCAAACTTGTTTTTCTACAAGCTCTGTGATGTGTGTCTTGTTTTAAACTTCATTAACTCTATATACCACAGAAAATGGTTTCCTCGAATTGACATTACATCCATCTGAATTTATTTCACAGATACTAATGGTCTTTTGTGAAAAACTTCATGAAACAGGTCTAATTCATCATGTACGGCAGTTTATTATTGGATTAACTAATAACATCTAATAATTTAAAATTGTCTTCCAATAATTTTGTGTTATTTTTCTCCTTAATATCTACAATGAAAACTAATTTATCTAAAGTTTTTACATTTGGTTCCATGTAAGACTTTATAGATACGATACTGAAGAGTGTAGAGTACGGACAAAACAGCTTCTGACTGCATCCGACTTTCGACGTGTTGTTTAGTTAATGTAAATTCGTAATGACCATGAAATAAATCAAACTAACTTTCCGATAAATGAACAACATGTTGGTGAGTTGTAACACTAAACAAGAAGTAATTTCAATTTTAATGACTACAGTCTAAGTAATATGTGGCTAGTAACTATTATATATATATATATATATATATATATATATATATATATATATATATATATATATATATATGAGAATAGGTGAAAAGATTTTATAACAGCTATGAATAACTTAATTGATGAAAGATTGATCAAAATATTTGTTGTTTTGTACTTTTATAATTGGTGGTCATAGTACAATTTTACTTAACAATATTATTGATTTAATTTTCCTTAAATTATACAAATCCGTACGCTTACGCACATCCGAAGAGTTTAATAGTCAATATTTATGTATTATTATGTTATCAATTGTTAATATTTTCTTTAGATTCTACTTTTTATTCACAGTAATAATGTCTATTTTCTAAAAGTATTTTTTTTAATTGTTGAATGCATTTTCAAGCAAATTAATTACTTAACCACAGGATATCACATTTTGGTCTGAGATGTTTTTTCCTAGAGAGAATGAATAATTACTTCCTAAAATAAACTCTTGAGGTATTTATTAAGAAGCATAAAAAGATAGATTTGATAGAAATGATTTATTAAGTTTAATCGAGATGTTTATTTGATAGTTTGTTTAAATTAATGTCAGACCAAACTAAGTCACTTTATGAGTTTACACCTGCTGCTTGTTAGGAATTAATACTAATGGTTAAGGTAGAAAGTCATTGTTATTATCCCATCAAACGGTAATATCACTAGCTTCACGTAAGTGTTGTTTTATTTAGTTTAATTTACCTTAATGTTAATTACTGATAGACACTGAAATTACTACTTTTGAGAGCTTAGTGTTGTGCTGTGCGCTACTTATATACACATAGGTAGTATATAACGATGGTCAGACATAGAATGTATTTCAATGAAAGTTTGTAAGGGAAAGAACAAGAACAGAAAGTAATTGGAATGAAAATGCATGAAAAAGGAAATCTGAGACGATGGATTGATATTTACAAAAGTAACAGTCAAGTTTGAGACAATTGATTGATATATTGCAAATTAACTATTTACTGTATGTTTCTCAGATTTTAGTAAGATGTTCTGTAATTTTGTGCTCAAATATATTCGGTTGTTCCCACTGATGTTCTTGTTCATACGGTTTTTCTAAAGAGACCAGATATCTTTCTACGGAATTCATCTTTTACTCCATTTCATCAATAAGACGAAAGAATATAAACATGCAGCACTTTATTTTGATCCCTCCAATTTTTACAGTCTTATTTTTTTTGATGAAACTTTGAACCAGGAACAGTTTAAACGTCTGAAGTTTTAGTAATTCTGTTTTTGAAACATTCTCTGTTTTGTGAATATCAATACTTATAGAAGCAATCATCCATGTGTATAAAGATAAACTATCACAACTGATAATCACTAGTTAATGGAAATTTTCCTGATAAAATTTGTTGTTTATCGAATCGTGTACATTTTCAGTTGTCTCAATCAATTGAATGAATCTTACACATTTTGAACTTAACCTATGCACATTTTTATTGGTTCAAAATAAGTGACATAGTACCCTAATCTGTACTAAGACAAAAGATCTAACTGAATTTTTGTTGTTGAAGTAATTTCATAATTATGTTAGATAATTCAGTTAAGTAATTTGTCGATAATTTATATATCATAAATTACTAAATATTGAGTTGTTTCCCATTAACATTTCAAAGGTAAATACTTGAGTTATAACTGGTACAAGAGCATTAGTTGATTATAGAAAAGCACTGTAATTAAATTTATGAATCATTTCTTAACTTAAAACATATATATGTGATGAGTATAGGCTTTGAGAAATGGAATATATATCATCATAAACCTACAAATGTTTTACATATTTTGCTTACCTTTGTTTTACCACTTATTAAGTGAACTTATGTTGAACTGTAGAATACTTGGGGGGATGGGGATGATGAAATCCGGATAATGTTGTTTTAGCGCTCAATATATTTGTTAAGGTCTAGTGGAATCATGATGGAAATTAAATGAGACTTAGGACATTAGAGGTTTTGAAGACGTCTGTCTTTCAAGTCTATTATTATAACATATTTGATGCAACTTACTCTCTAGTAAAGGTTTCTATTTGAGGACGAGTGATACTGTTGTGGCTGGTACTATGTCAAGCCCACATAAACTACTCTAGCTTCTGGACAGACTAATTTATTCATACTTCTCAAGCCACATCTTGACCTTGTCACTTATTCGCTTATTAATTCTAGCTACTTTTATTTGAGTGTGTGTTAATTGCTTACTCTATTCATTGTGTGTCTGTGACTTATTTTGATCTGAATATAAATGTTGAGTCACGCTTTATCAAATTGGGTTGATTCACTCGTTTTCTACACTGTGCCCTCTCTCATGTTCTGTTCCTTCGCTTTGTTCCTCCGATTCTCTGTTCAGATCAATGAGTGTACGAAGCATACGTATTCAAACTTCATTCTCGTATTTGACTTATTTAGTTCCGTTATTCACTAACGTGATTAAACTCGATGCTCAAACACGAGGATTGGTAACAATCAGCATACGATCTGATTGGAATCAAATACGTGGCCGAAAAATACTACTTGGTCACCTTAACTAACGTAGGTCAGAATGGAGATTGGGAATTATCGTCATGTTCTGACTGAAAGCTGAGTGCTTCAACATTTAATCCACATTATGTTATAAATTGCTGGTTATTTTGAGGTTGTAATTGAACCGAATGGGTAGTAAATTGTTATGTATCTTATTAGCGAATTGAATATATATATATATATATATATATATATATATATATATATATATATATATATTTATATATATGTTGAGAATTGTTACAGCAAATTTTGTGGATTGTTCTGGTTAAAAGTAGTAATAGTGATTAAACAGAGAAGCTAGGAAATTGTTCTCATAAAATGATAAAAGTCAACTGTTTTTGTATAGGGATTTCTGGTGATTATAGAATTTTCACAATTCAAATCTCAAGCTAATCTTTGCTAGACCATCATTTAGAACCTTGAAGCAGTGGATGGATGATTCGTTTTAGTTTAGGACTACTAAACGATTGATTGATCACTGGGTGGTGATCAATTTCATGCTTGTCTAGTCCTTATTAGTGCAGATCGAATGCTATCAACCATGTTGTAATGTGGCCACCAGTCTAAGTGACTCGACATTGCGGGCACTATTGTAAGATTAGATGGTGGTTGGAGGTAGTCGACAGGAAACCCTGTCGACTACCTCCAACCACCATCTAAATGCTAAACAATACCTGTCCATAAACCCGCACGTGAGATTAAAACCGCAAACCTTCTGTTTTGCGTATGGACACTTATCCCTTAATCATTAAGCTACGTTCCAGGTGTATACAAGTCTAAATTCAATCAATTTGCGATATTGCATAACCCTTTCTCTGTTGCCTGGGCTAGATAACTACCTCACATCCGACATGGAATAGAAATTGTTGTTGCATTTGATGAACCAATGAATTTAAGTATTGTTTTCATTTAGGAAGAGGTTAACCCTCCACAAAGCAAAATACTGTTAAAAAAAATTAATCAATCTAATTTTTTGATCAATCAAATCTCATTACTTTTTTCCAAGAATTACCGTATACTTTCAGAATGTGCATAGTATTCATTTTGTTAATTCTCTTTTGAAGGATCAACGCCAAAATGGTTTATGTATTGGATTTAATTATAAAGGTATTTCTATATTCAAGGATGGTTGCAGTATCAATGTGTTTGAATGGTAAGTATATTATTTTCTAATTAAATTCACATAATTATAAATACTTTATTAATTAACCTGTCACGAGCATACAATCAATTACATATTCAATAATAATTACTTTTTTATACATTAAATTCAGCAGACTTTGAATTGTCCAAAAACTACCTTTCAGATAGCTATCTCATAGTCTAATTTATTTTGTCAGATATTTTTAGACTTGAAAGCAAATTACAACTATAGTCGGTTGTTATTTAAGTGGAATAATCATTGACTAATCAGAATAGAAATAGATGTAAACATTTGGAAGATATATTTTGAGTATCAAAAATGATTTTTAACATATTTGGTATTGTTTTACTCAAATTTTCCCACTGATGATTAGGACTGTAATTGATCAGTCTCTTATTGGCGTATCTGCATGATGTGCACATTGTCCCGATATTACCTTGATTCACAAGCATTATTAGCTGTGGAGTCCAGGACACGTATCTCGTCCTATTTGGGATTCGTCAGCCAGATGTGCCTGCATTTGAGTTGATGTTCACTCTGGGACTCGAACCCAGTACCGTTCGCTTTAAATGCCGTTGGGTTATCCACTTAGCTATTGAGTCCTGATAGCCGCTTACTTGTTCAATGGAGTGAAGTTTAAATTTACTTGGTGTTGTTTACTTGAATTTTCCCATCGATGATTAGGACTGAAATTGATCAGTCACTTATTAACATATGTGCGTACTGTGCGTATTACCTCGATATTGTCTTAATTCACAAGCGTTATAAGCTGACGAGTCTCAAATATGACCGAACGCGCGTCCTGGATTCCACTGCTAGCCAATATTCATGTTTGATTTTTAACATAGTTGATAAGTTCATATTTTGCTTGTCTTGATGTAAAATTTTAAAGTTGCTAAAAATATCATTGAACTTTATTTTTTGTATTATGTGTGTGAAGTTGTCGTGTAAATCGTATGACTCAGTATTAAAAATGAAATTGAATCTAAGAGTAAATAATGAAATAAAATTAAACAGTATATTACAATACATCCAGGACAATTTTAGTAGATTAAAGGATTTACTGGTGGCTATATCCAGGTAGTCTAAAAGATGTGGCTTCTTTTAAACTAAATATGTTATCTAGGCTTCATGATTTTAACTGATTAATTGTAAATTATAATGTTATCGATAGGAAAGTTGTACATTTCGAGATGCGTTTATTTGCAAAATATGTCAACATGAGCTGTACATTGTGTAATAGCTTGTAGGTTGTACTAGTACAGTCTTTCACAGTCTTATGGTTAATTATACTTGCTATTCAAATTGTAATCTATGATTAGTGTGACTGTTTTATGATCATATTTTACTGATATTATTCAACAGTATATATCACTTCATGTTACAACGCATCAAAACCAAGAAATACATGGAAATAGTAAGACATGAAAATAAATAATGAGCGGAAAAGATAAATGATACATAAATAGAATAAGGATATCGTGGCCTAGTTTATAAAATGTGAATGTGAATTTACCATGGTCTAAAATTATTCATTATCTGTTTCTTATAGAATCTATTCTTGTACAAGTTCTTTGAATATTTAGGGACTTTTTTGATCAAATGTATATTTTCAGGTGTCAGTTTTAGTTCTTTCCAAGCTTAATATTTACACCACTAGGAAACACATGTTTTTTAAAATCTAAATCTAAGCATGTACACCAATTTCTTATTTGGTGAAGATTCACGATCTTTGTGTATAGCTTACTTCTGAATGAAAGATTAGCTCATTATCTCAGAAATTTTCATTTAGTATCGTTTTATATACTAAAAAATGATTTAAAGCATCCATATATGATGGCCAAAATGTGTTGTTATCACGTCATGTAATCATGTATTGAGCCGCATAAGAAAAGAAAGGAAATAATGGGTTAGTTAGGGAAGTTCAGTTTATGATTGCGCCAACTTTCATATCCACCAAACCCTAAACTAATTTGATCCTTCATACTGGGGCACTATGAATCGGACGACATAAGTGGAAATACGAAAATCATAGACATGAATTTACTTGATCCTCAGACAAGTATTCAGATTTCTATAAGTTAAATTGAGCTGTACTTCAAAATACTATATGAAAATACATTTACGAAATCATACAATTAAGCATCAATAACTAATATGATTACATTTTATAGACAATTGGGAAAACATCAATTTCATATGTTCCTCGCACTCTAGTCAATTCAGTACCTACTCATCATATAACCACTATTTGAATCATTTAATAGTGGTGATCGATAAATGAATCCAGTCAACATAACAATGATAAACTTCGATATCAATTTTGTTATTATTGTTGAAGGCATTCTGGAGAATAAATACTCAAATTTTTGTCAGAAAACATTGATGAACATGAATTATAAGCTCAAAGAATTCTATCATCTATGATAGTTAAAGGGATCAGTAGCTTACTTAGTGTTAAATTTTCATCAATTGATATATTGAATTTTTAATTTAAGATAAATTCTATCATTCTATAATAATGTTGACTCTATTACCTAAGAATAAAACATATAAATGATGAATACAATTTATTACTAAGTATTATTTGGAAAGTATTCACATTCTAAATTAAACAGACGACAATGAAAAATTGTTTATGGTCAACGTATTGATTTATAAATAATAATAGAAAAGATAAGAAATATGTATTAGAGAACTTGGCTTAAACATTTTTTTTTTGTTTGTACACAAAATCAATAAAAATGTGTTACAAGTTATGTAATTTATTGTTTACGTATTTATCATCAATTGTATTTTTGAGCCTGATAACATTATTTTTATGATCTTATTTACTGCTGTAAAAGGAAGACTTTATTAAGATTAGGGCTTTTTATAAGTTGTTTATAAGAAGTTAGTTTATAGTGGAGACTAATAAAAATAGAAGAGTTATCACTAACTATACATTAGTGGTTAACTTGTTCAAAGGAGGACTTAAACTATAAACCTTCAAGTTTAGCATTTAGTACAATAATTTTAGAATATAATGAATTAAATTTCTAAATCCATTGAATTTTTTGATATAAATTAAATTGATCAAGTTAAAATAAGTAATTAGGCTAATGTATCCATTGATCATTAGTTTGACTATGTAACAATTGAAAATCAAAAATTCCTACAAGAAATATAGCTTGCATTGACAAAGAGCAAACGATTGTTTAATGTTTATCCGATTATTAGTGCTAAATTAATCTATATGATTTTGCTATATTTCTTAAGCAAAACAGAGGTTAGTGTATTATTCATTAATTAGTTTGTAATCGTTTAAACAACATATTACACATTTCTATTTGATGAAATTCTTAGTGCATTGAATTTCTACAATCCGTTAATTTCAATTACTTTGTGCTAATTAATAAAATTCAACAGTTGAGATCATGAGCTAATTGAAGCTAGACAACCATTGAAAGCCTGGAAGCACTGGATGGCCGTTTTGTCCCATTGTGGGACTCCTCAGCAGTGCGCATCCACGAACCCGCCTCCTGGGATTCGAACCTAGAACCCATCAGCCACGCGCGCGAGTGCTTAACCACTAGACCACTGAGCCGGCCTCCAACGGTGTTAATGCTTGACTTCAACTAATTCACGATATTGTGCTACCATCGTCAATTGTCTTTGGTCGGTAACTGTCTTCGAAATCGTGGAAGCGCACTGCCGAGAAGTTTCGTGATAGGACGAAACGGCCGTCCAGTATTTCCAGGTTTTTTAACATTGATTCATTGTTGATATCAATCTAAACTTATCAATCTTCACAACCCCATACTCATGATATAAACTCATGAACGTTTTAAATAGCTATCGCTTGTTTTCAATATTAAAGTCTAATTTTAGTTTTTTTCTATTATCGCTATACAGGGCATTTATTAAAAACATTTATCCAGAAAAAAAGAATTTGGTTTTAGTCGTGTGTGGCAAGCAGGTAAATTCTTTTGTTGATTCATCATATATATTGAGTTAACTTGTGTTTGAAAACAAAGTTAAATTTACATTGTATTAATGAAAGCATCTAAATGATGTAGTGTTCTTTCATTTTATCTGTATTTATTCTGTTTAGCGTCAAGGTTTTCAATAATTTTTCATGTATTCTGCATTGTTATGATCTCTTCGTGACATTTCCTTATGAAGTAAAATAAATCAAACAGATGATTATTGTTATTTCATTAGTTCAGTATTAAACTGGTTTCATCATAAAACTAATATCCTTACGATTTGACTAGTAAATATGGAAGAATATCGATTGTTATGCACTTCATTTCTTTGCTTTTACCAACTTACTCTCGGAAGGGAATAAGTGTTATTCTCACAATGCTGTAAAATATAGCGATTCATTTTTGTGACATCAATGAAGCACAGTTTTACTAGATAAAGACGAAAAGCTCGGATTTATGATCTGGACTGCGTCGTAAGATGTCAACTTTCTGATGGGGACCACAGCAAATGTCGTTTTTCGTGGTAATAGACGCTGGGTTGTACGACCCAAAATGCATTAAAATAGCTTCATTACATCAATTCTCTGTGTTCCTATAAATCTTTGGTTGATTTTCATTCATAATTTTGACCATGAGTGACTGACTTATCATTAGTGCAAATATCTTCCCAAAATTGTAGTAAACCTACCTTTCCCTACAAATTTGCTTTCATATTTCTTTTCAGTTAGAGGATGAAAAAGATCTTGTTCTCGGGTTCAAATGTAAATCGCCTTCAGAAGCCAAAACTTTATGCTTACGAGCACTCAACTGTAAAACATTCAAAGAGTAGGTCATTTTTTCACTCAATAGTAACTGAAAATTATATGTTTTAACTTTTTGTATTATTGGATATTTATTACATATTTTGTAATGTTTTAAATTTTCTTCTTTTAACTTCATCAGTCAGGTATTATTTTCAGATGTCTCTGGTTCAAAATGGTTTACTACTCTATATCGAGTATATGTTCATGAATTTGTATTTATTATGGTACAGCCTGACATACCAGTTCATACTAATGGTTACCATAGAAAATTTACTTACTTTTGTAATTGATGTCATTGGTTGTCATCAAAAGTTCATTACTTTTGTTGAATAACTTAAAAATTTACGAATCACAATAGTTATCAAGGATGATTAGTAGGGGAGTAGGAATACAATGATTTATTACTAGCGTCAAATCAAGTTCGAATTATCGTAGAAACGTTCTGTAGTTTTCTACTGAGGTGTAATTTTTTACTGTCCAGTCCAACGGATCAAACAGGTTTTCCGTTTTAAATCAGACTAAGATATTCTTTGCTTGGTTGTCGAATGATAGTAGATACCTTAACACTTTTTAACCATTACAGGTCGATTTATTGTTTGTAATTAAATTTCAAAATGTTGTTATCAGATTGTAGTCGCTTGTTTCTTAGGTCATTATTACACCCTAGAAGGCACATTTACTGAAAACGTTAGTCATTCAACTAAATGAATAAAAAGGTAGTTAATAAACAAACTATGAATTGAAGAAAACACAGCTTTTTAGAATGTAAATATCAGTAGTTAACAAAAGTGAATTTGAGACTACCTTTCAATGTTAAGCTATAGGATAAAATTTTTAAACACCGACACACCAAAAAACAGTACTCTTGTTGATAGTGGTCTGAACCAGGACATGGAATTCAAGGAAAAAGTTTATTGTTACAATTTCACTGGAGCGACCGATGAATAAATTCACACTTCCTGAACTACTTACCATTTGTGAGTAGTATGTAACAAACGTCATAAGAAACAGTGTGCATGAACGTTAATAAAGGCAAAAATTATTTAACTGAACTGGAGGTCTTGATATTTACGCTTCTCAGGTGTAAAAATTGATAGCTATTGTTCTGTTTGTTACTCTTACGAGTCTGCATAGCTAGTTAGTTCCTCCACATTAAGGTATGCTTTATCGTGACATTAGCTATTCAAAAGACTGAATCCTGTTCACTGATAGGAATCATCTAGAAAATACCGACTATTGATAGCGTTTTTTGTAGTGGGACTTAAAATAAACTCTCCATGTTCTATTTTTGTCTGATCACACTAAAATGTCTTTATCGCAGGCACTAAACTAGTAAAAAACACAGAACGATTCAAAAATATGCTAGTCTGATGACTGATGTAGAAACTTTGGTGAAGTTATGTTCTGTGAGCTGGATGGTTTAGTCACGGAGCTTTCATTGTTCTTCTGAACAACATCATCAGCACAAACTTCGGGTAGAAGTAAAGTATTTGAGTTTCTCTGCATATGACTAACAGATTGTTCTGTTGACAGTGATCTTGGTTGGCTAATGTTGACCTTTACCCTATCATTTTCTACCTCTTTATTTTAATTATTTCTCCCTTTGACTTGATTCTTGGACCTATATTTGCCCACAGTCTTTCTGATTGGTTTATATTTTGACGTGCTTCTAGAAACTCCCTGGTTTTCTTCATATTCTTTTTATTCTGGATGTCAACATTTTCCCAGTTGATTGTGCATTCATAGCTGTCCATACTCATTGATATAAGTGAAGATATGTCATGGCGTTTGATCGCTAATTGATGTTCATGCAGGCGAAGATGAAGAGGGCATCCACATTGTGTTATGTAGTGTTTTTTCGCAACTGAAACAGTTTGTTTCGCAGATGATGTTTTGTTTTCATTCTTTGTCACTTCATCCTTTGGTTTGCATAGGACTGCTACACATATTCCAAATAGCTTCAAGAATTTCATGATTTTTGATACATCTTTTATGTATAGTAGGATGATCCGTTTACTGGTCTCTATACTTAGTTTCGTTTCTGCTGATGAGTTGCGTTGATATTTTTTGATGAATTCGCTTGGGTATCCATTCTTTTGAAAGATGGTCATTAAATATTTTCCTTCATTTTTCTGCTCTGCAAGTGTGTTACACTGTACCTTCCTCCTCTTGAATAAAGTATTTAGGCAGTTGATTTTGTGAGTTCTTGGGTTGTTGCTACTATCGTTGAGAATCCGACACACTGCTTCTGTAATAAGTCCTGTCATTTCTGATCTCATTGATATCCTTTTTGTTTGTTCGTAGATTTTATTGTTAAATTGAAGGTATGTTGTTATTTATAAATCGACGAGTTGTAGCAGACTTTGACTTTGAAGCTCCGTGTACTCTGAGAGATTTCTGTCGTTAGTGAGGAACATGGTTAGTTCCTTAGCTAAGCTTGGTTCGATTAAGGTGAATAAAGCAGTTATGTCCAAGGATATCATCAGTTTGTTGTTGTTGTTGACTTGATTCTACTTAACCTTATCCAAGAATTGTGCGAAAGATTTAATAGAGTAGTCAGATCAATCCATTAAATGGTTCAGTATTCTTGAAATTTCTCTCGATAGACTGTATGTTGAGGTTCCAGAGAGTGATAAAATTGGACGTAATGGGATATTTGATTAGGGTAGTTTCGGCCTACCGTAGAATTGAGGGAGCGCTAGTCCATGAGATTTCATTTTCTATTGTTCCGCTTTGACTAGCCTGTTTAAAGTTTTTGAGATTTGTTTGTTACTCACTTAAACAATAAATTAGCATCATGAGAGAATGCATATGTATTTCAACACCAGACTACCAAGGTTTATTTCTTGTTATTATTAATTGTATGATTTACCACACTGTCACTGTTGTTTTTACAAAAAAAAACCTTTAGTTGATTTAGTGATTTACATATATGTATATTAAATACAATTGTACGTTAAAGTAAAACTAAAGGAAGTTCTAATTGAAGACAATATTGTTGTGTCTGATTTATATATAGTTTTATTAAGTTGTTGATCAAATGAGTTGATAAACTTTGTCATCAATTAAGAGTATCCAAGTTTAGGCATTAAATAATCTTTTTCAGTACTTCGATATTACTTGGCTGTTTAGGTAGATATCAGTTAGTTATTTGAATAATGTTTTTGAATGAGTAGTCAGTCATGGATTCCATTGCTAGCCACTATCCATCTTTGCTTATTTAAATATGCTTAGTGACTACTTAGGATGTATGATTGTTTCCCATATTTAATCTTATAGAGTACGATTACAAGAGATGTCTCTTATTCCTCGACCTTTTAGAACATCTAACATTTTAGCTTATCGGTGAGTAATAGTTACTTAATTTCTTAATCAGTAACATAATAGTTTATGATCATTATGATTTTACATATTTTTTTTCATTAATTTAACCATTTGTTTTAAATAACTTCATATGATCATTCATTTATTCATGTAACAGTACGGAATTCATAATGTTAACTTTATTAACTCATTTCAATGTATGGATAAATAAACATGGCAAATTAACAAAAATTTATTCAGATAATGCATCGAAATTTTCACATATAAATATCAATTTCAATAGTTGAGATCATGATTCGATTGAAGCTAGATCACCATGGAAAACCTGGAAGCATTGGACAGCCGTTTCATCCTAATGTGGGACTCTTCAGCACAATAAAACGAAACGGTCGTCCAGTGCTTCCAGGTTTTCCATGGTGGTCTAGCTTCAATTGACTCATGATCTCAGCTATTGAAATTACTATAATATCCACAAAAACCCCTTCTTATACATAAAAATCATTTCGGTAAAATTCTATGAATTAGCATATTTAGTATGTTATTTTCATTTTATTATGATCAACATACTTCTCAACTTATGATTACTTAATTAACTTAAAGTTCCATTTATTGTAACACTGAAGTCATCTGGTTATGGTTACAATATACACTTAATCTTTTAGTTGTATGTGATTATTTATGTTGTTACAAAAAATTTCTTTGATTACTTGATATAACTTCTGATCTTACATTCACATAATGATAAATTTGCAAAACCAGAGCATCTCTTACTAGTTCAGCTCTACACTTCTATATCATTACATCATGAATGTCTTCTCTAAGCAAACTCCCTAGAACTATTTATCTCTAATGATAGCTGTCTTGCAGTAGTATATTCAGTTTACAAATTTGTTTCTGCGATGCTTTTAGACAGCTAAGAAGTAAAATATTTTTTTAATTGCTTAATGAACAGAATAGAGAATGTTAACCCAAACCTTATAGATTATCTTTCAACTGTTTGCTTACCAGTCTGAAAATCATCCCAAGAATAATGTTCATTTTCTATTAACTACATACATATATTTTCTCTACTCAAATGCCCACTGACAGTATGATTTTCTAACAAATTGAAGTTTATCAGCTTGGTATAAACTTATTCTGATGAAATTATAGTATGGTGTATGCTACTTATGTCGACAGATATAAGTTTTAAGTAATACCAATCAGAAGTGGGATTCCTGAGAGCAGAAGGTTGAAAAGATCGAATTGAAGAGAACAGGAATGTAAATAGAGAGTAATTGTAGTAACAGCAGGAATGAAGGAAAGATGAAGTTCGTATGAGACAACTGATCAAAGATGTGCAAATGATGTATGTAATGTATGATTTGCATATTTTACGAAAACATTCTGTAATTTGTATTAAACAATAAATTAGTCCTCCTCACCTGAGCGTTCGTTTACTACAATAATACTTTAAATAAAATTATGGTTAGAGCATATATATCCTCATAGATTACAATTTCTCGTGATTGATTTATTCTAGAGAATCGGTCGGTCGATCTTAGCATAAACGTATAGAACACGGTTAAGTTGATCTAGCTTTTGAAAATGTTATAATGTTTAGTAGTGAATAAATATGTATATATTCGTAATAGGTTTTAGCCTTAAATAAAATACACTAAAACATGCATTGAATTGTAATGGAATTCAACCAGGCAATTTATAATTGATTATAAATGCTGACTATCATCCTGAAGTGGCTTTGTTTCTTTAATTAATCACCTTTTATAACCGTTACTATATAAACCCCAACGGTGTTTGAAATCAGAAGGCAATAAAAGGCGGCGATCACAGTCTATTTGTGGACAGCATGTATGACTAAGCCATAAACACATTGAACGAGTTTGAAGAAGAGAGGTGAATGTGTGTATGTGACCAAATACAGAGGCAAATTTAGAGTCAAATCGAATCAAGGCTCAGCTAGGATTGTCGAAGGCTAATAATAGGATTCGAATACATATATACATGGGGAAGAGAATGAATCATCGAGCGATATTTAAGTGATTAACATTTTAGCTAGAGTCTGTCAGGTGATCAAGCATACATGTTTATACAAACAACATAATGATTATAAAAGCACAAAGAAATATGAGAATTGTTACTGTTCGAATAATATTATCTGTTAAGTTAATAAAAGGACTTAACCAAAATTAACCATTATCTAAATTGATTGAAAATCTGTATGATTTGTTGATTATCATCGAAGTTCAGTTATCCCCCATACCATTACATGCTACTGTTATAATGTTGTTTAGTACAATAATTTGAATATTGTAAACAATTAAAATTATTTGAAAGTAACTCTGAATTGCGATTAAATCATTTAAGTCGATTGATAAATAATGAAACTATAATTGAATTGTATCCATTTCAACAATTAAAAATTGACGCGTTAGATGAATAGACTCATGTAGCTTAGTGAGTAACGCGTTGGCGTTTGAAGTAAAAGGTACTGTGTTCGGGTCTCTATATGGACATAGATATATCTAGCTGACTAGTTCCAAATAAGACGAAACAAGTGCACTGAATTTCTTTGCTAGCCACATACCGAAAATACTAAGAACTTGTAACTAAAGTGTATATTGAGGCTATCTCCCTTCAGGAAGAACTCATGGCAATAGAGATTGATCAATTGCAGTACATAAGATCAACAACGGGTAAAAACAATCACGTCTATAAAGTTATCAACTTTGCTTAATATTTGATTTTTCTTTTCTCTTCATAGACCATCAGAAATTATTAATCAAGATTCTTTAAGTGATTCTTCTGATAGTTCACAGTATGCTTCACTAAAATGGTAAGTGGTGTCTGTTTAGGTTCTATTTATTTCATAATGGTTCAACTGGGGAGCAATAACATTTGAACAATAGTCAATTAATTTATATTTATAAATTTTTCAAAATGTCGAGATTATTGTTTTTGTCTATGGCGAGTTTCATTTGAAATCATTCTGATTACATTAATTCACCATTAGATATTCGAAGAATCGCCACTAAAAATCATATAAATGATGCTTACCACTACCCAACAAGCTGACATCACATTTAGATAAAAAAAATGTTAAATAGACCTTACACATCAGTCATATGAATATACAATCTATTTTCGTTCTTTGAAATATTCCATTACATCAACTTTACGTTGTTTATAACGATAGACTTCAGAAGTACTTCAACAGAAGAGAGTGATGCCAGCGATACAAATATCGTGAAGCTAGTATTTTATTATTCTTATTAAAGTGGCAATACTAAATTAGAAGATAGATTAGGTGTCTAACATACAGTTTCTTAATTAGTAACTTAAATTTTTTTATTTGTTTTGAACCCTGTTTTTTGCATATAAGCAATGATTTTCAGATGAATGTATCTGATCTCTGAAATCACAAACATACTGCATATAAAATGAACAATCGGAAGTGACGTTATTACTGACAGTATACACACTGTCATAGTCATAAATTTTGTTAGCACAGAGTTATCACTATTTAATGCAAAACATAAATATGTCAAGAAGGTGGGATCACTATAACGTCATTTGTGTTTCAGAGTGATAGATTTTATATCTCTGCTATGGGCGATACATTAAACTATACGTTCGCTAGAATTCAGTTTGTTGTTTTACATTTTACTGGTTCGGATTAATATTTTTAGTACTTCATAAAAATTCGATCATATAGAATCAGTAATGACATCCCAGTAATAAAATAATAATATTTTTATGATATCATACTGAGTAAAAATTGAAATTCTGACGTCGCCTCTTCAGAGAATAAATAATTGAAATAAATTAATATAAGTTTAAACAGTACAGAGAAACAGATCAATACTCAGTGAAATCGAAACAATATCATTCAGGTCAAATTTTATGCTCTAAAAGAATAAGACATTTTGTATAGGTATTTTGTTCAAGGTTTTACTTCTCTTTCTAAAAAACGAGAAACTCACTATTAGTTGAAACTGCAGTTTTACTTCCTAAAACATAAGGATATATGTATGTAAATGAGTGTGAATGTATTTCTCAATTTGAATTACTGAACAAGGCTTCCCTATCACTCTATGTCTTTTCGTTTAAGTAGCTTGAGTACAAAAAGCTTTTGTACCGGTATCGGAATCAGATATCGCACAAATGTGAGACAATATGTGTGAATTCATGCAAATCTGAGTGAGTGTGTAAAATACATCACACAAATGTTACAAATAATATTAAGAACAATCTATCGAATGCTAAAGTTATATGAAATTATCAAGTCAAACTTCGATAATGATACTTACAAAAATGCTATGGATTTTCAACAGTTACTACTAGTGTTATCTAAGATAAATATATAGGTTTTATTCGTTAACCAAAATGAATTTCCATCTCTGTGTTAAGGTACTAATAATAAAAACAACAATAAAGGAAAATTGAAAATGTGAAAAAGAAAGAAAATCTAATATTTTAACCCAATTTTATAATTAGATTTTGCCTCAATGATGGACTTATTTTAAGATTACCATTCAAAACAGAACAAATGTTATCTTTTGGTTTGTAGGGATATTTTTTTATATTTACGTAGTTAAATGTTAAAGGTCAGCTACCTTGATTACGCGTTAAGATGACGAAATTTTAAAGTCCATCTTAATTAAAACATATTGATAATAAATAAAACTATCAGTTATTACAATTAAGCACCCACCGAAAATGTTAATATACCTGCATTAGTTGCTAAGGTCGTGGTAAAAAAAATTACGTCAGCTAACCTATTTCGTATTAGTATATTGTAAATATATGCTTTATATAAAAGAAAATTCTACAACATTGATTGTGACAACAGCCCAAACGACCAAAAACACGTGATTACATAATGAGTAAACGGTGATAGGAATTAAATGAGTAAAGCTCATTTAATAAAATAAGATTACTAATCTGGAAGATAGTTGAAATAAAAACTCAATGATGTAATAAAAGCAAAAAAGAGTTAAAGAAAAAAGTTTAAGATGCAACGAAGCAATATTTATCGCCAAGGCAAGGAAACATCCATAACCATCTCCATCAGGTTTTTGACGTCTGATAGTAACGGCTTCAACAAACTTTAAACGACTGAAGTTTGGCTGCCTACTTATCACCTTGAAAAGTTGCAAGATATTGACCTGATGTCCTGTGTTCAAGAGATGTTTGTGATTGCACTGTTTAGTCTTTCTTTCTCTTGTTCTGAGGTTTTTTGGAACATGCATCCACTCTTTGTGTTCTCCCAAATTCTAATCTTCTAAATTCTTCATGTCCTTTTTCTCTTTCCAAATTTATTTCACCGGATTATACTCCTTGAATAACATCTTCAAACTCTAGTATTTTCGATTACTGCTTATCCTCATACTACCTCCACTACGGATTTGAATCAACAACTGCATCTCTGTTCTAATGTGGTATGACAACTCGAACTAATATACGTACGTACGAAGTTCTACGTTGTTACCGACTGACTGACTGAATTCATATTATTCCATTAAGTTTGTTCTTATTACTGTATTTAACTTAATTTATCAATGTTATTCATTATAAATAAGTTATTTTTTCATCATTTTCCATAATAAATATGTCTGTATATATTTTTCTTTAGTAAATATACTCCTCCAACTGTAGATATTCAAACAGATGTAACAACAACAGCAGCGACGACAACAACAACAATCGCAACAAAAAAATCACACAAGAATTCAACTAGTTCAGAAGCAAGTGAAAATACAGCATGGCCAATTGATTTTGCAACATTCATAGGAAAAGAATGTAATGCTAATAATGCTGTTGATCAAGACAATACTGATCAAAATAATGATAATCAAACACATGGAATAAATATATCATATTTAGATCCCCCATCAAAACCGGTGAATAGAGTAAGTCCACGAAATAGTTTTGGAGGAAGTATGGACTTACCGATACCAAGTGAAAAAAGACCACAAGTTTCTGATTTATCATGGAAATCTAAACCGGTACATCGGTTAGTTAATTCATCTTCTATCAATGTGAACAAGTAGGTTTTTATTACGTTTATTTTTTATTTTCATAATATTACACGTGGTAGTAACAAACCGTGTTAGGTAGAGGGTAGTTACCTACAGAAGATAATAGCAGGTGATCTTACAATATTGTGGATTGATCGATATCAAAACCACTGAATGCCAGCTCAGTGATCTGGACGTTAAGAGTGTGAGCGCATGACTGAAAATCCAGCGTGCGGGATCGTAGACGCACACTGCCGAGGGGCCCCATATTACAACAAAATGACCATTTAGTGCTTCCAGGTTTTCATTTGTGGTCTAACTTAGAACTTTTCATGATTTCAACAAAAATGAACAATATCCACAACCCCATATTTAGAACAAATCAATTTAGAATTATGCACTTACATTTACTTGTTCAATAATATGTTTGCAAACGTAGATTATTGAGCATAACCCAGTAGTCTGAAAATTAACGGATCTTCTCAAAAATTAAGGATATTGGATTCGATGATTAGCGAGTATATTAATTCTTATCAGAAAGAGGTTTTTGTGGATGTTATAGTAATTTAATAGTTGAGTTCATGAGTCAATGGAAACTAGGCTCAGTGGTCAAGACGTTAAGCATTCGCACGCAGGACCTTTGGTCTTGCGTGCGAGATCTCAAATAAAATATTAGTTCTAACATTTAATCTTCTATGTATCATGAAAAATATTGAACATTTAGAGAATGTACATCATCTGAACTGTATGAAGTAGTTTTCAAAGTAGCCTCAAATTTTGATGAATCATTGAATACATCTATATCTAGGTTGTTGATTCAAAGTTGCAAAGCACGATTTATTGACATCTTTCTGAGAATTCTCGAAAGTCATAGAATACTGAAAAGTTATTTCTTCCTGTTATTAAAATTCTAATTAAAAAAATACAATACTTAGATTATCTTCACTTATTCTACAAGTTATCTCAGTAAAATACAAGCTGAGGTGAAAAGTAACTAATTTCAATTACAATATTGAAATACGTAATATCTCTCCGCAAAAATCAATATGTTCTACTGGTAATTTATAGTTTATCAGAAGGGGTTTCGTGAAGATTTTATAATTTCAGTAGTTGAAATCATGAGTCAATTAAAGCTAGACCACCATGAAAAACCTGGAAGCACTGGACGGCCGTTTCGTCCTTGTACCATCTGCTCACGAGTGACTGATTTCGAGAGGCATTTCATGGAATTCTAGTGAGAAGCCATGACCAGTGGATTTCAACCACGTCTGTTGTGAGATATCAGCTCACTGAAGACAATGGTGACGGTGGCGCAATTTAGTGGATTGGTTGAAGTTAGATATTAACACTGTTGGATGCCGGTTTAATGGTTTAATGGTTAAGCACTCTCACGCGAGAATGATAGGTCCTGGATTCTAATCTCGCGATGGACGGGATCGTGGACGCGCACTGCTGAGGAGCCTCATACTAGGTAGAAACGGCTGTCCATTGCTTCCAGGTATTCCGTGGTGGTCTAGCTTCAATTGACTCAAGATTTCAACTATTGAAACTTATGGTTTACTCAACATCGATATTGGTGTTATGATTTTAATGATAAGAGCTAAAATACATATACCTTTATAAATTATAAATAGTTGGAAAATTAACTGGTGAATCTTCGTATTTCTCAACAGATTATATTTCATCACTCTTAAGATGATATGCGTTTATATAATCTACTGTTTTAAATATTTATAGTTAATGAAATGAAGAGGAAATAAAAATTTCTTTCACATTGAGTAGGTTTTCAAAATTTATTATAGACACTAATTAAATATGGAATATTCCAGAAATGTTTAGTTGCTATCAGAATAATAGATAGACTATAAGTATTTAATAATAAAACTACTCTTTTACATTGAAAAGAGCAAGAAAAAAGGTTCTAGGGGAATAGCATGAATTCATTTTATTTCATTAGTTCTATTTAGCTACTTACAACCTGTGAGAACCGACGAAATAAAATGAATTATTATTAGTATTGGCTTTAATCAATATTATATTTTGACGCAATATAGAATTCTCAGCATAAGGTATTTCAACAAGTTTCTTTTACAAAAAAAAAAACAAAAATAAAGACAAAAAAGAATGGAAAAATGTGAAAAAACCGAAACTGTACAACTTTCCAAATTAAAGACATGTTTAAGAATACAGGTTGTTGACTAGACTGACTCTAACAACCTGTTCGTCTCATAGTATATTTGATAGATAAGGCATTCTAGAACTTTTATACTTTTCCCTGCGCGCATGGATTTTCATGCAATTACGTTCTACCAGAAGATATACAAGGAGAAAGATATGAGTAAAGGAGATGGTTAGTATCTGATAAGATAACACCTGCCAGGAGTTTGCATGACTTTAGATGTTTATCCACAACCATAATAATTATGACCTCAAAGGATTCAACACACACCTTGCTAATCGCCTTCAGCACTCTCCGCAATACAGCAGTCTTTTCTTAAAAGCCCAGGAAAGATTAATGGAGAACAGTAAAGAATAATAGGTAATATGCAGGAATTGACAAATTGTAAGAGTAAATGACAAGTAATCCCAAAAGCATACAGCGTCTTAATGTAGTAAGTCAGACGGAAATCTATTCTGCTAGAATATTTGTTCTTTCTCTTTTCAAAATAATAAAAGAAACTATGTGTATATGAATAATATTGTTTCATAGTTATAGATTGTGATTTATCTATTTAAAACAAATATTAATTCATTCTAAGCTTCATCCACAAAGATCATAAAAGATTTTAGTAGAGTACCCACACTTTACTAATTATAACCTTTGGTTATTACATTTTATTATTCATCATAAAATGGATTAAGTCACTGTATATATATGTGATTATTCTTATGTTACTTTTTAGTGAAAATGATAAATAATCAAATATATCTCAGTTAAACATTATCAATTATCAATAATATCAAATACAATGGACACTATAGTTTTCTCTCCTATTCTCTTGACAACTATTAAAATAAGTAAAAATATAACTACCGATGAATTATAAATCACTTTTAAGTGATTCATCATTAATATTATTATTACCATCATCAATAGTATCTAATATGATAATGAGTCTGAATCAATGTATTCAGTTCTATTTTTTTAAAAAATCATTATCGTAAATTGATAATGCATATTCATGTATCCATGTAATTCTTTATTTCAATCATTCAATATTATGAATTCATACAGAAAGAATAATAAAAGTAAACGAAAAATAAAGAAATATAATTCCATAGATTTATGTCTTTCATAATGTATATTGTAAAAAAAAGTATTTTGTTTTATTCTTTATTTTATTCTCGTCTTCATTTTTATTTATTTATTTTTTGTTGTTTTTTCTCTCTTCCAATTTCTACTACATATTGTTGTATAACCTAATGTAAAGATTTAAAGTAAAGCAAACAAATGAAATGAATAAACTTTATATAGTTTCATTGTGTAATAATAGTAATAATAATAATAATAATAATAATAATAATAATGTTTTATTTTATATTTTCATTCGTTTATTTACTTGTTCAGTTTTGTTTTTTCTTCTCTATTTCATATAATTAATTAATTGAAAAAACAAAATATTTTGTTTTGAAAATTTTTCAATTAAATTATCAGATTTATATTTTTAAAAAAAATCTATAATATTTTGATTATTAAGATGATTCGTTATTAGTTAAGAAAGATAGACTAATTACCATAATGTATTACTGAAGAACAATATTGGTAACTATGTTATTATTATATTATTAATATTGTTACTATTATTATTATTAGTCGATTATTTGCACGCTATTTATTTTTCAAAATTTCTTTCAGTTGGTGATTTTGTTTTCTGTTTACATTTTATTTATTCTTTTATTCTGTCTTTTGAAATTCAATTCTTATTTGTATATTTTATTTTGTTTTGTTAATTTGAAGATTTTGTTTGTTATTATATATTAATAATTTAATGGATATGATCTGTTTAAATAACAATATGTATTTGGTAAAAAGAAGGGAGATGGGGGTGAGGTGGGGAGTAGAAATACTTGTTTATCATTACCTATCTATTATGTTTTAGGTGTAATACATTGGTTGATTTTGTTTGTCTTTATTTTATGTGTTGTGTAAATGATAAATAGAATGTATAAAAGTACATGAAATGATATTTTTTATTAATTGAGTTGTTTTATGGAGAATAGCTTAATTTGAAGATAGTCCTTGTCAAACATAAATCACTTGAATAATTTTTGTAAATTAAGAATTATTGAATAGCTGTTTTAATCTGATTTGAAACAACTGAGGAGTGCTAATATCTTAACTTTATTGTAGATCTAGTAGTTGGCTTAGTATCTCATTTAACTTTAGTCAGTTTGTCATGTTGTTCAACAGTGACTCAATGAAATTAGTCAGCAACTAATTAATCTATGATTTGTTTGTGGACCGTTGAATTTTAACTTCTAATGGTCTAAAGCTGACTGGGGAGCTGCGAGAACTGAAGCTCCTTGAAATAGTCTAACATGAGATCCCAGGCACTCAATGCTAAAAAGTCTTCAACGAAGTAGAAAATACGCCTCAAAGATTATATCAGTTATTGATATTTAATTTCACTATTCATATATAGGTTGTTAGTCGCTGATATTTACATCTTGCTAAGCATGATTATTTTGAAAATAATATGTATGTGATCTTATAACTAAATAAATTTTGGTCCCACTCTAAATATGCATCTACTAAGTTATTTTCACACATTACTCAGTGTTAACATCTATCTACTACATGAGAACTCTACAATTGATTGATCACTAAGTACTGACCAATGTTATATATGCCATGTCCTTCTTATTGCAAATTACTACCCAGTGATCAATCAATTGTAAATGCATCTCAGTCCCACAGGAGGTCATTTGCGGCTCAGATAGATCATCATTAACGCCTCCGACTGTAAAGTAGGGTGACACGGGACCGAATCCGCCAGAGAGCATCCGTTCCCTCAGAATTACAGGTAAACTATACTGATAGGTATCGAATAGCGCGCAACCTAGATCAAACGGGATTTCCTGTTGGCTACTTCCAACCATCACCCTACTTAAATACGTCTTTGTAAACGATTTATGGTACGAAATTATCTGATACGGTGAGTACATCAAACAGTCAGCTGTGAACTAAGTTGACAATAGAATAAGTATAATTCACAAAATTTATGTCAATACTGCTTCCCTGACACTTTTGATTAGCAACGATTCCATGAACCTTAGTTACATTTTGTGAGTCTCCTGGATTAATTCAAATAATTGATTAAGTACTTTAAAGCTCGATCTTATCATTCCTCGCTTGCATTCAATTTACTCCTATACTGGCTAGCATATAACATTAAAATAAGTGGTAACTGGTCAGGTAAAGCATATCGTAATCTCTTTATCCAGTGAGTGTTCATTAAGTTGCAAACCGATTTATTATCTTTGCTTTCGTGCTTAAACTCAAAATTATCCGTCAGTTCGACTACATGTATAATTGAACATCATCAACCTGTGCAAATTCGAGTCTTCAGAGGATATTTTTCCATAAATTCATTTTGCTCTGTTTATTTGAATCTTCCCATTGATGTTCAGGACTGCAATTGATCAGTCTATTATTGACATATGTGCACTCTGTGTCAACAACTCAGTAGTTAAGTAGAGAACGCGATGGTGTTAAAGCAAACGGTACTGGGTCAGAGTCCTGGAATGGAAGTCAACTATAGGATGCAGGTACACACAGCTGACGAAACTCAAATAGAACGACACGCGTGCCATGGATACCACTGCTAGCTGCCATCCGTTTTCTTCCTTTTCCCTGTTCATAAAAAGAGTACAGACGGTCAAAATGAATATTGATACTGACCGATTCCGACCAAATAATATTTTAAAGACTATTGTACTATTCAGTTACTTTCGTAGTAATTAAATGAATGAATCAAATGAGTAGCATCTTTACTAATAACTAAAATGTTATTAGTTAAATAGAAAAAAATACAGCTAATTCAACACTGTCATTAATGACTTTTAAACCTGTGTTATATTCAATTAGTAATTAAGAGATTGTAGACAACCTACATTTGATGACTGATACCTCATTATGAGCATTACAGTTATTTCGTATTGCGGTACATTTATTTGAATAGTTTCTTCAAAGAACCTGTTTACATCTGATAATATTATAATTTTCTCATATAATAACGATATATCTAAAAAGTGAACCATACATTCGTCGAAACTAGTCAGTTATGAATTACTTGTCACAGAAAACTTATAAGTTTTGATTTATGATTTCTGAAATAACGAGAAAAGTACAAACAGTTGATTAATTTATGTGATTATGTGGTACTACTTACTATTAAAAAGTAGTGTACAGTTTATTTACAATATTGTTGTTTACTGTGTAGAAGTTACAATAAAAGATGAATAATTTCATCTCTACTAAAACAGATTTTAGTTTCAGCACAGAATGAATACAGTTTGGAAAGTAATTTCATTTAAAAAATCGAATACTAGTACAAAGGGCATATTGCCCTCCAAATACTTGAATATCAGTTCCATATTTTTATAGGACTCGGTCATAGGACACAATTCAGCCGACTGTGCTTATCTAAAGTATGGATATATTTTTGTGTGAAAACACAAGAGTTAAAGGAAATGGTTTTGTTAAGAAAATGGTGTGTAATATTCTCAAGCTATAAGCAGAACTTTCCAACTTATTAAAACATTTTAATCGTAGTAATGCATTCGCCGCAGGTAACGATTATCGTTCACTTCTTAAAGAGTGGTTATACAGGTCGATATTAAAGAGATAGCTAGTAATCTTATACTTCAATATCCTCAAGTATTCAGTGAATAGATTATAACATTCAGAAAATTTTTCATAATTATACATTCGAGAAGCTGAATTTCAATACTCAAAAATATTTGTCTCATCAAAATTTTAGTTATAAATTTATAACCATTTAGTTATTACGAGGGTACCCTGAAGCATTTTGTATGGGGATAAGAACTTAAATTTTACTAAGAAGTACTGAGCATTATCAATGATTATCATTCAAAAATCCTACCGGATTAAAACACATCTATAAATGATGATTGTTATATTCCATAGATTCACTTCAAATTCTACAGTTATACATCCAAATTAATGATATACATACCAAGTTTTAAATAAGCTCATCTTTTGTAGATATGTATATTTGAATATAGGATTGTTTGAAAATAAAATAAAATTTTGATATAAATAAAAACGGAAATCAGTAAACAAAGAAATTTTCATTCCAATGTAATTGTTAATGATGTAATAATTAGCTTGGAATGTTAATTAAAACAAATTTATATACTCAGTGAAGTTATAAGGTGAATAATCTGAAAGAATATAGATAATACAGAGTGAGAGAAATACTCATATGATTACAAACCAGATTGCATGTTTGATCGTAGACCACGTAGTGTATGAAGTTATTCGAATTAAGTAGTAACAAGATTTGAGGTACAATAAGACAAAGGTGAATAATACATGTGCATTAGTTAAATTAAGTCATCTTACAATTCATTTTGTATTGGTTGTTTGAATCTTCCCAATGATGCTTAAGATAGAAATTTATCAGTTTCTGATTGTCATATTTGTATATTAACTTAAGTCACAAGCATTATAAGCAAAGATAGATGGTGGCTAGCAGTGGAATCCAGGACGCACGTTTCATCGTATTTGAAATTCACTGGCTTGCACAATGGTGTTATGATTTGATGTCCGGCTTACGATCACGTGACTTATACACCAATCAGAATACGGCTTATACGAATATTCGCACTATGACAAGACCAATGACGTTCAACCGGTCTGAGCAGTCTAGCGTCCTATTGGGTCCTACGTCCTTCTAACCCGTCCTCTTGAGTCCAGAACACAAAAGCAGCTTCCGAATCAACCAAAATCATTTATTTCAGACATACTCGGTTTATATATCAATCAGGCAGACCACAACGTACCATAAAATAGAAAATAACATATGTACACAAATAGGCCAAAAAGTGGCTGTGAATGTGGGAAACAGTAATTAATAGACAGGTTATAACTCAAGAATAATAAATCGTATAGTAATAATCTGTGGGTCAAAATAAAGCTTATAATAAGTGGAATATAAATACACATAATGTAATTCTTGAATAATTATACAATAAGAATATTTATAGAATATTTGTCCATTAATAGTCCTCAAAAGTTACCTGTAGTTTAATCTTCACTGGTATATAACACCTCCCTTTTTTTTTGAAGCATTAGAGATAATAACGATCCTTAGGATTTATTTTTATTCGATTAGGTTTCCGCCTGATACGCTGCGACCTCCTGGGGAGTGTTGTATGTGTCCTGTTATTTTTCGGGTCATTTTTAATTTCATTATCCGACTCAGTTAATATATTTATTGGTATACTCGACTTTATATCATTTCCTGTCTCCCGCTCCTGTCTGGTTGGCTGCATCTGGTTTGCGTGTCGCACCCATATCTTTCGTCCAACTTTTACTTCATAGATAACCTTCCCTTTTCTTCGTATTATGATGCCAAACTTCCAGGTTGGCTTTACTCCCGCGAAATCTCTTGCTATTACGGCTTGTCCCACCTTAAAGCTTCTGGGCAATGCACCATGTCGCTTGTTGAATTGCTGTTCCATTCGTTTGTTCTTGCGGAGTTTGGCTGTAGGTTTTTGTTTCATTTGCTCTAAAGGTATTCTAATCTTTCTCCCAAAAATTGCTTCTGCTGGACTTTCTTGATTATTTGTTGTTGGGTTGGGTGTTGCTCTGTAGGTTTGTAGAAATCTTTGGATAATCTCTTCTATTTCCCCTTCTCCTTCGGCTTTAAGCAGTGCTCTTTTAAACGTATCGACGAACCTTTCCGCTAGACCATTTGACTGCGGATGGTATGGGGGTGTCTTTATATGCCTGACGGTGTTTGCGACACAGAACTTCGAGAATTCAGCAGAGGTAAACTGTGGTCCATTATCAGACACCAGTACATCTGGACACCCTAAGCAACTGAATACTTGTCTCAGTTTTTCGATAGTAGCTTTTGTCGAAAGAGACTTCATGCAGTGGATCTCTGGCCATTTTGAGAAGGCATCAACAATCACCAAGTACTGTTTCCCGTTTATGGGACCTGCGAAATCCACATATACTCTCGACCACGGATTTTCCGGTGTCCCCCAACTCTGCATTTCTGTCTTGCGAGGGGCTTTGATAGCTTTTGCACACGCGGAACATCTCTCAACATAGTCTTTGATCTGAGCGTTAATATTCGGCCAATATACATACCCACGTGCAAGTGCCTTCATCCGTGCTATCCCTGGGTGTGCAGCATGCAGTTCTGACATCACTTTACGGCGTAAGTTTGAAGGTACAATTACTCGATTTCCAAACATCAAGCACCCATCCACAAGTGATAGAGAATTTCGACGGTGAGAATACTGTTCAATATTTTTGTTGTCTATATGGGTAGGCCAACCATGTTCGAGGTATCGAATAATCTGCCTCAGCTCATCGTCTTCTTGAGTATGGTGTTTAATGTCTTCAGAGGATAACGGT